CAGAATTCCCCAGCCAGCATTCGCTGGCTGGGGAATTCTGGGAGTTGAAGTCCAGACATCTTCAAGTTGCCAAGGTTGAAAAACACTGTTCTAAGGTGCCTGCAAGAGCCTCGGCTGCATCTCTGCTGCCAGATGTGCGGCTTTCCCGCTCGGCTGGAGGGAGCTGCCTCTCTGCGAAGGGCCACCCCGGCACCCCAAGATCCGACTTGGGAGGAGAGGAGCTTTCTCTAGTCAGGTTCCAGGCCTATCGGGGGGGGGCAAATGGGCTCTCGAGAGAGAGCTCTGACCTCAGTGGGGGGGGCTGGAATATCCCAGGCAGGCAGGCCACCCAACCCCCCCTCTGTTTGGTTCTTACTTAGCCCAGCCAGAATATGCAGAGTCCACCTGCCTCTTTGCAATAGCAGCTTGCGTGCTTCAGCCTCCCCCCAAATTCCTGCAGGGTTCCTATCTGAAGCAGAGCAATGGGCCTGCCTCCCCCCCTGGCCGCCTCCCTCCCAGGGTGTTGAGTTTGCAAACACACCAAGTTGTCAAGGCCATTAAAATTTATCTAGAGAATTGGAAAAATAAACACGAGCCCCAGCAAGAACAAGCTGGGTGGCCTCGAACGGCTCCTCTCCACCGCCATCCAATCGATTGCAGGCATTCAGCACCACGGGGCTTTCGTGCCCCTTCCCTTCGGAGTGAGTTTGCAGGCTCCGCGAGTGAGCCGGCTTCCCTGAGGCCCTCGGAGGGGCCCCGGTGGCGAGGGCCTTCCTTGGGGGTGCTGAAAGGCCGGTCCTTCTGCCGCAGAGCTGCCACGAGGGGAGCTGCCCGGCCATGTTGGTGGCCTGTCCTGCGTGTCACGACCTGGTCAGGCTGGGCGAGAAGGAGCAGCACGTGGAGCAGGAGTGTCCCGAGAGGAGCCTCAGCTGCGAACACTGCCAAGCTCCTTTCCACTTCTCTGAGAGCAAGGTAAGGGCCTGGGCTGCCCCCCTCCCACCCCCGAGAGCCACCCTGCGGAAAGCCAGGTGCAGCATTGCAGCAGCCGCACTCAAAACCTCCCCAATGCAGAGCACAAAGGAGCGGCCTTCGTTTTGGTTGCTCCGGTGCCCTTTCCCAGGCAGGGTAGGGCTCTGCCTGCCTTCCTTCCGGGCAGCCTAGACGCCGAGTGCCAGCTGCGGGAGGCCAGCACTGTCCTGGAGGAGGAGAGGTGGGGCAGAAGGTGGGCTAACCAGCAGCTTTGTTTGGCCAGGCCCACGAGGCGGTGTGCCCCAAACACCCCCTGGCTTGCGAGGGCTGCGGAAAGAAGATGATCCCCCGGGAGAAGGTGAGCAGGGAAGCCCTTTTGCTCTAGCTCCCCAACAAAGGGGCCTTGGGACGGCCACGTTTCTACTCCATGGTGGGGCAAGGGCAGTGACCTGGCCTACCCAAACGCCCCCTACCTCCACCAGCAGAAGAGGCTGCCTGGCTCAGACTCTGGAGGGAAGAGGGCAACCTGGTGCTTTTGAGATGCCTCCCCCCCCCCCCCAAATCAGCCCTTGAAACGACACCTGGTGGTGGGTGAGGGGATGGGCCTCCCGCTCCTTTTGAAGCTGCTCTTCTCTCCCACAGTTCCTGGAACACGTCAAGAGCTGCAGCAAATCTAGAGCCCCCTGCAGATTCCAGCCGGTCGGCTGCACCCACCTGGTATGGCTGCTCTGGGCTTCAAAGCAGGGAGGGGGGGCTGGAGCCGCTTGGACAGCATCCCCGTCTCTTGGTGGCCCCCATCAGCCGAGCCCCCTTGGCCCACCTGACTCCCCTGCTCTTCCTGGCCTTCGCAGATGGAGAACGAGAAGCTCCCCGAGCACGAGAGGAGCCACCTGGGCGAGCACCTCTACATGCTGCTGAGCTTCGTGCTGAGCTTGGGCTCCGCGTCCAGCAAGCTGGAGCCCCTGCTGAACCGCCTCTCGGCGGAGGCCGGCTGCGTCCTGGCAGGGGCCAGGCCCCTGGTTCCGGAGGCGGAGCTGCCCAGCTCCCTAGAGCTGCTGGGGAAATGCGAGGCCCTGGAGAGGAAGACGGTCACGTTCGAGAACATTGTCTGCGTGCTGAACCGGGAGGTGGAGAAGGTGTCGCTCGTGGCCGAGGCCGCCAACCGCCAGCACCAGCTCGACCAGGAGAAGATCGAGGCCCTCAGCGCTAAGGTGGGACGGGGGTTGGCGACCCCCTGCTGGCGAGACATGCAAGGGTGTGGGAGGGGGGCGTTCAGAGTGGGAGCCGGTCTCGCTTCCTGGCCTGGGCAAAGCAGAAGAGGAAGGGTTAGGGTTAGGGTGGCCTGGAGGGGTGGGTGGCCTGGGCTCAGCTTCAGGGCTCCGCACGGACCCCTTGCGAGGCTGAGCCCCGGTTGTGCCTTCCTGGCCCAGGTGCGGCAGCTGGAGAGGAGCATCGCCTTGAAGGACCTGGCCCTGGCCGAGATGGAGCACACCATCCAGGAGATGGAGGCGGCCTCCTACGACGGCATCTTCATCTGGAAGATTTCGGACTTTGCCAGGAAGCGGCAGGAGGCAGTGGCGGGGCGCTCTCCGGCCATCTTCTCCCCAGGTGGGGAAAGCCCCCCCGGGAACACGCAGGCTCTGATCTTGGGTGGGCAGGGTGGGTCAGAGGGCCCAACAGGGGCAAGGCGAGCTGAAGGAAAGGGCCCGCGTCCCGCGTGGCTTGCTTCCCACTGACTTCCTGCTCTGCTTGGCCAGCCTTCTACACCAGCAAGTACGGCTACAAGATGTGCCTGCGGATCTACCTCAATGGGGACGGCACCGGGCGTGGCAGCCACCTGTCGCTCTTCTTCGTGGTAATGAAAGGGCCTAACGACTCCCTGCTGCGCTGGCCTTTCAATCAGAAGGTAGGGCCCTGGGGCGGGGGGGGGGAGGGCGCACTGGGTGGGAGCCCTCGGCTTCTGAAGCTTCATGCAAGACCAACCCCAACCCCAGGGAGGCCCCCCCCCCGGGGTTTCCCCAGGAACAGAGGCCAAGGGGGAGGCTACTACCAGGTTCCGTCTCCCCCATAGGTCACCCTGATGCTGCTGGACCAGAATAACCGCGAACATGTCATTGACGCCTTCCGGCCTGACGTGACCTCCAACTCCTTCCAGCGGCCCATCAGCGACATGAACATTGCCAGTGGCTGCCCCCTCTTCTGCCCCATCTCCAAGATGGAGGCCAAGAACTCCTACGTGCGCGACGACTCCCTCTTCATTAAAGCCATAGTAGACCTCACGGGCCTTTAACGCCTTGCCCACTAGGGGTCTCGGAGCATGGGGCTGCCCTGGGCAACGAGGGTCTGGCGGACCTCCTTTTAGCCTTGGACGGCCCCCTGGCCTTGGGGAGCGGCTGGGAGGCCCAGGTGGGCCCCGAAGGTCCCTCTGCAGCTCCTCCCCTGCCTTGGATTGCTGTTGGAGGAACGGGAGGGGTGGCCGCTGCCCAGGCCACAAAAGGGATGGAGAGTGGCTGGGCGCCCAAAGGAAGAGCCAGCAGCTGCTGGGGGCAGTCTGGCCAGGGACTTTTAGGGGCTGCTGACTGTGTCCACTCCCAGGCAATCCCCCTGCCAATCCCATTCTCTGGGCAGCGGCCGGGAAAGTCGCTCCAGCAGAGGTGGAGGAAGGACGGAAGGGTTCACAGGCAGAGGGGAGCTGGGGGGGGGAGGGGGAGTCTTCCTCCGGTGTTCCCATCAAGAGAGACCTGGGAAATTGCTCCACCCCCTTCTTCTCCACTGGAGGGGGGAGGGGGCACTCTGAGGAGGTCTCGCAGGAGCGATCAGAGTGGATTTGGATTGTCCTGCTGAAACGTTCTTCCCCGGGCAAGTGAGAAAGCCGAATAAAACATTATAGAGGCGAGCCCCGTTTTGCTCATCTTTGGGGCGAGGGGGTGCTGGGCTTCCCCTAAGCAAGCCAGGGAAGGCGCCTCTCTTGGCCCCCCAGCCCACCGGAGAGGAAGTCCCACAGGGGGCCCTCCCCATCGCCTGCCTGGTATCTGCCACAGGGGAGGGCCCCTCTCGTAGCCGCCAGGGGGGGCAAAAGGGGGCACCGGCAGATTCCAAAGATGCTCAATGCAAGAGCAACAACTCAAGCAAAGTTTATTGCAACCAAGCCATGCGGCACTGGGTAGCCAAGGTTGGCAGGGCGTGGAAGCTGCCCAGCCCTCCTCAAAGTGCACATAAACAGGTTTCGTTCTGCTTCACAAAAAAAATTAACACACGTCGTGCCTTCGCCTCCTCCATTCCCCAAGCAGATGTTTTGCAGGGAACATGGCTGACTCCCCCAGAGGGCAAGAGGGCACCTGTGCTCCTTCCCAGCCTGCAGCTCCAACACCTGGGAGGGAAGGGACTCCTTGCCACCTGGGTCAACAAGAGCAGAGGCACCGGAGGGAATCCAGCACAGGTTTCCTGGCTCCCTTCGCGGCTGTTCAAAGCCCAGGAGCCACAGTGGAGGGTGGCGGCATCCTACGGAACGATGCCAGCCTGCAAGCAGGACGCCTCCTTCGAAAGGCCCCTGGGCAGCACCTGCCAGCCTGCGGCTCCGTTCCTCGGATGGCAATTCTTCCAGGCCTCACCCAAGCAGGGGCAGCTGTGAAGGTGAGCAGGCTGGGCCGGTGTCGCTTGCCCAAGGGAGCCAGCCCCGCCCGGCTCACGTTCTCTGCTTCGTGGCCCATGAGAAGAGGCGTCTACGAAGCGGGGGCTTCTCGTCCTGAAGGACCCGCGCGGTGCGGGGAGAGCGCCACACTTTGATGGTGTTGTCTGCGCAGGCTGTCAGGAGGAGCTCCTGTTCCACAGGGCTGAAGGCCACCGAGTTGACCACGTCGTCATGCTGCAGTTTGGCCAAGCAGATGTCGTAGTGCCGGTCCCAGATGTATCCGTGGCGATCCTCGGCCCCACTGCACGGGAGGAGGAGACACGTTGGTGGCCACGGAACAAAGCTGGAAGAGATGCTCCGGGAACATCACCGCCACCAACCGCAAGCCACCCACTCCCTTGCTAAGGAGCCTTCACTGGGCAGAGAGGAGGGAGGGCAAGGCTCACCTGGCCACAAAGTCCTTGCTGACATCAAGGAAAATGAAGTTGAACTCTTCGCTGGGGGTGTAGGCCCGGTGTGCCCGCAGAGCCCGCTTGGCCTCCTTCATGGTCTTCAGGTCCACCACGCGCAGCTCAATCTCCTCCGCGATGGGCGGCGGCTGCAAAGGATCAGAAACAACACAGCCCTCGGGCCAAGCGCGGCTGTTGACGTACAAGTACCTGGAGAGGCAGGGAGAGAGAGACGGGGCAATTCTGCTGGCCTCGTGATGGTGAGGTGAGAGCTGGCCAACAGGGCTCCTGCTTGGCTGGGCACCTGGCAATCTCCCAACACATCCAGCCCTTCCTTCTCCAGCCCCTCCTGAGCCTGTGGTCCCCCCCCCTTTCACCACTGAACTCGGGCATCGTGCCACCTGGCCCCCAACCCATGCCCAATTTCTCTCTGTCACTGGCAGCGTTCCCTACCTGTGGTCTGGGGAGAGGCCCATGCCAATGATGTGCCCATGAATATCAATGACATGATCCAGCGAATCGAAGAACCTGTCCGAATTCCTCTCTTCACCCAGAACAGGCCCTGCGGTTGTCATTTGGTGGGGAAGGATCTGCTTAATTCCTAGAGGGGAAGCGAGAAGGGAACTGGCTAGCTTGCCCCGTGTCTCGCAGGGTGGCACCAAACCTCTTTCTCTGCCTCCGGTCAGACCGAGAGAGGCAGGCGACCTAGCCGGGCACCGGGCCTCCAACTGGAGGCAACCCAATATCAGCAAGGCTTTTTCTGTTGCTTGTCCCCAGGCTCTGGTCCACAGTCCCTGGGAGGAGAGGTTGGCAGAAGCGCAGGCTGTTTCTTCCACCCCAGGGAAAGGGCGCCCAGGTCCCTTACCAATCTGATGCGGTGAGTAGGTGAGGCAGCCGGTGGTGAAGACCAGGTATTTCTTGTTCCCACCCTGCATGGAGAGCAGGTTGGGCTCCGGGGGCTTCGTTCGGTTCCGGGCCAGGAGTCGGGCCACTTTCGTCTCCATCTCCATCTCCGTCATCATTGGCCGGACGTGCCCCGCCATGATGTCACTCAGGAAGCGGTCCAGCCCGTCTTCGGTCCCCGCCTCCCCTTCGGCCGCTGGGAAACCCCTGCGCTGGGGCCTCTCCTCCGGCTCCTGGCTGGGGCTCTCCTGGGGGGGAGGAGCGGGGCCTTCCTCCACCTGCTCTCCAGGGCTCTCCAGCTCCTCGGGAGAGCTGTAGCGGCCACAGTCGACCACCAGGACGGTCCGGATGGCGCTGGCGTTCAGGTTCTGGATTTTGAAGAGCCGCTTCACCACGTTAACATTCTCGGACTCGATGCCCTGCGAGGGGAGGGACAAGCGGGGTCAGGCCATGGAAGCCTGGGGTTCCCTCCCCCCCCCCCGTCACCCCAGGGCCGCAGCCTTGCTTCCTTCACCTGGAAGGCGTTGTTCAGCCACAAGACGGAGCAGGAAGTTAGGTAGCCAATCCGATGGAGGTTGCTGGAGATCAAGTTGGTCTCGTTCAGCCAGCAGCCAAAGACGTCGAAGGGCTTGTTGCGGACACGGGACAGGAGTTCAAAGTTCTCTGAAAGAGGAAGGGGGGAGGGGCTCAGGAGACCCCGAAGGGGGAGGGGTGAAAGGTCTTCAGCCAGGAGGATTTGGAGCCTCCCCTCCTCCCGTCTCTCCCTATGCAGCCAGGATCCCCAGGAGGAGGAGAGGCGGCTCCTGGCCCTCCAAAGCCTCTCATCCTGGCCCCATCCAGGCTCTTCCCGGGAGAGTCCAGGCTCTCTCCAACCTCTCGGCAGGCGCCCCGCAAGCCTCCTTACCCAGCCCGATGACGGCAATCTCCCCCGAGGAGGAGCTCCGGGGGCCCATGAAGACCCCCGAGACCAGGAGGAGGGAATCGTCTGCGTTGAACTGGGAGAACTGGGTGTAGCTCCAGTTGTACTTCTTCATGCTGGAGCTGTGCAGCAGGGAGACCGGCAGCTCGTTCCTCCAGATCTGCAGCCAGGAAGGATAACGGAACAGGGCCGCTTTGCACCGGCGCAGCCACGCCGGCCGGGACCTTCCCTCCCCCCCGACCCGCCCCTCTCCGGCCCCCAGCAGACCTTGACGGTGCAGTCCTTGGAGCAGGAGGCGAACAGGCGGCCGCTGTGGGCGAAGCTGAGGTGGAGGACGGGGTCCCCGTGCTCCCGCAGCCTCTGCACCTCCACGCGCGGGACGGCGTCGCCCAGGCGCTGGAACTCCCCGAACCAGGAGGCGGCGGCTGCGGCGGGAACGGAGAGAAGCTCCCGAGGCTGCGCGGCCTTCCGCCCGCCGGACCCTCCCCCCTCTCCCCCTCCTGCCCCGGGGGGGCTTCGGGTCCCTCCCCCCGCCGCTCTCCTTGGGGAGGGGCTGCTGCGGGGGGGGGATCCGCCGGGGCCGCCCCTCCTCCTCTCCACCCCCCCGCTGACCTGGGTGCCGCGGGACGTTCCGGGCGACGCCGTAGTGCCGGTAGAAGAGCCCCTTCCACAGGACCTCGTCCCGGGCCACCCGCCGCCACTGCCGGCACACCCGCCCCGCCGCCAGGACGTCCGGGGGCGGCAGGTGGCGGAAGATCTCGACGAGGAGGCTGTCGGGGAGCATGGCCGCATCCTGCTGCCGCCGCCGCCGCCGGGCCGCCCCGACCAGGGAGGCTCCCGCCGAGAGCGGCTCTCTCCCGGCCGCGAACCTCCTTCCGCCGACGGAAGCCGAGAAGGGGACACTGCCCTCCCGTTCCCCCGCCCCAACTCCGGCTCTGCTTCGGCCAGACTCGACCAATCGAGCCCTGAGCGGAACTGACTTCCACGGCCCGGAGAGGGCGCTCAGGCGCGCTTTCAGGAGCGGCGGGAGGCGAGCGGCTGGCAGAGGAATTCTGGGAGTTGAAGTCGGGAGAGGTGATCGGGGAGCGGGAGGGGGGGATGCAGACGAGTTCCAGAATAAGGGAGGAAAGGCGGCACTTCAAGGACCGCAGAGCGTTCTCAACGCGGCATCAATGGGGGCAACTGGACCACGCCAGCCCCGATGTTACTCGGATAGCTGACAAGCAACGCTGGAGAGGTCCTACTTTAATGGGTTTATTGCTTATTATTCTGTGTCTTTATTATTTATCCTGTGGAATCGCAGGCACAAAAGAAAATAAACCTTTTTAATGAGTTTTATGGTTATTATTCTGTGTCTTTATTATTAGATGCTGTGTTATTAATATTAATAGGGAAAGGGGAGGCTCAGGGGCTGCAGAAAAGGCACAGAAGAGAAAAACCTGCTTCAAAAGCCGTAACCCGTTAAAAAAAGCCTTATGATGACTTCAATGACTTCAACTCTAAGGGACAGAAAACAATGCCCCCCTGTGGACAATGTTGTAACCGTGGGAAAAAAGAAAAACCTTTAAAATGAGTTATATGCTTATTATTGTGTATAGTATTAGAAGCCCTGTTTTTAATATTAATAGGGAAAGGG